CCCGCCGGGATTTTGTCCTAAACTGAAAACGAAACCGGGTGAAAGTCCCCGCGGGCCCTTTCCGGGTCGAAGGTCTCAGGGGTCCCGCAGCCTCGGGGTGACCCTCGGACCCTGCAAATCCGGCGACCCGCGGTTGTATGTGGGGCGGGAGGGGTCGTGACCTCTGACCGGCCCGGGGTCACTCACCGTCCTCGCTCTGGTTGTAGTAGCGGAGGGCGGTCCTCAGGTTCACTCGGAAAGTCTGTGCGTTACCCTTGGCGCTCCGGGTCTCCCGCTCCCAATACTCCGGCCCCTCCCGCTCTATCCACGGCGCCCGCGGCTCCATCCTCGGATTCTCCGCGTCGCTGTCGAACCGCACGAACTGCGTGTCGTCCACGTAGCCGACTTCGATGTACCGGGGCTCTCCGCGGCCGGGCCGGGACACGGCGGTGTGGAAATACCTCATGGAGTGGGAGCCTGGGGGGCGAGAGGGGCTGAGACCCGGCGCGACCTTCTCCCGGCGCGGCTCCCCAGACCTGCGTCCCCGCCGGGTGATCCCCTCGCCCTCCCCGCAGAGGCCGTTTCCCTCCCGACCCCGCACTCACCCGCCCAGCTCTCGGTCAGGACCAGGGCCGCCGACAGCAGCCGGAGGAGGGTTCGGGGCGCCGTGACCCCCATCCTCGGAGTCTGACGAGAAGCTGAGTTCGGGCAGCTCTGAGGAGACTTAATAACCGGGAACCGCGGCGACGCTGATTGGCTTCTCTAGAAACCCACACCCAATGGGAGTGAGAGCTGGTGCACGTCAGCAGTATCCAGGAAGAAGGACCGGACCAGGGTTGGCGGAGGGAGAGACGAAACTTTGAGGAGACGGGGAATCCCCAGTGCTGAGCTTCCCCGCCCCCACCCCGCTCTCAGGACTGAGACCCTGAAAGCCACGCCGAGAACCTGGGGCTTTGCCCTGACCCTGCTTCTCCTGCACCAAGGACTGTTTGTCACGCTGTCTCCTGAGCCTGGCCCAGGACTGACCCCCGGTCTGGGTCCAGCCCCTTTCCTGAATCCTCTCCCTGAACTGGACTCTGCCTCCTGCTCTTTCCTCCCCGTCTGGACTCTTCTAAAAGAAACTCATCCTCGGGGAACTTGATGCGAGAGTCAGCTCCCTCTCTTGGAGGTGCAGAGATGGTGGTTTTCTCCATAAACCTGGAGTTGTGTCTAAACACACCTGACGGAAACTCTCAGGGAGACCACTTTCCTTCTTCCTTATTAACTAGTGTGTAGCACAATCTTGGTAACACCTCAGTGATCAGGAATCTAATCTGTAACAGAAGTGATGTTGGCCCCTTGATAGAGCAAGGTGTCTAAACTCATTACAGCTAGACTCACAAAGCTCCCAGTTTTTACTTTCCTGGACTATGTAACCTGGATTCTGAGTTGTTGTATTTAAATTTATCTTCATTCCACAGCCCTTAGTCTATACTTGAGAGTGCAGGACATTTCCTCATACAAAGAAGCACAATTTGTGACTGTGTATTTCAACCAGGAGTTGTAGAACTTTAACCACTTCAAAGCTGCACGTGCTCAAAGTGCTTTCACCAGTGTTCATGCATTGCCTGTTTTTATAAATTATTCACATCTAAGCTGTGTGTATATTTTCAAGGGGACACTTTGTATTTTTAACCTGATTAATATTAGGAGGAAATTAGCTTCTGCAAGTGTGTTAATTACCAAATGCAAAGAGCACCCTGCTAGGCTCTGTATTAAAAATCTATAAAACACTGTATTTAAATCCGAGAATTCAGCTGCTTTACAATTCTTTCCCTCTGATATTGTTCCTCGCCTACTGCTTCTCCGGCCCTTCCCTCTGTCCCTTTCATCCCTCAGACCCTTTCTCCCCTTAGTCCCACCACCTGTCACCCCTGAACTGTGGCACCAGCTCTGTCCCTCCCCTGCTGCCCACAACTGTTCTCCCCCACAGTGGTCATGAGTCCTGCTACTGAAGTCAGATTCTATCATTTCTTCACTTAAAATGCTCCAATGGATGGATCACACTCTTGTAAAGCCCCGGGAAGATAAGGTGCATGAACATATGGCCTTTGGGCTGTTTTGATCAAAATTGTATCCCCAGTTTGGAAAGGCATTCCTGGTACATAATAGGACTAAATTAATTATTATTGAATGAATAAATATGGTTGGAGTAAAACTGAATCACCTAAAAATCATAAACTAAAACATACTAGAATAGTTAAGCAAGATTTTATTTCATGCAAGTAAATGAATATCAGTTCATAAATTCATTTCACTGAAAAACACATTATGTGCTTATCTCTTGAGCTTGTGTATTAATTTTCTATTTCTGTATACCAAATTACCACAAACTTGTTGTCTCTAAACAATGGCCATTTATTTGTTTATTGGTCCTTAGAAATCCAGGCATGGTGTGGATGGGTTCTCTGTTTAGAGTTTCACAAAGCTGTGCCCTCATCTTGAGGTAGGGTCCTCCCCTAAGCTTATACAGAGCCCATGGGTAGAATTCCCTTTCTGGCAATTGTAGGACTGAAGTCCTTGTTTGATTGCCAGCTGTCAGGGTGGGGAGGCAGGTGGGCTGCCACTGGCATTCTTTGCTGTAGGAACTCTCCACTTTCAAAGCCCAAAGACTCACACTGAGTCCTTCTCTGCCTGTGACTCTCATGCTCCAGAAGAACCCAGTCTTTTAAGAATTCACATGATAAGGACAGTTCAATCCAGGATAATCACCATCTTAAAGTCAACTGATTTGGGACTGTAATTATATCTGTAAATTCCTTCACAGCAGCATCTACATTAGTGTTCATTGAATACCCGGGGGAAGGTGCATAATGAAGGCATAGTTATTGGGGGACGTTATAGAGTCAGCCTAGCATGGCCTGGATCTTCCCTTTGTGTTTAATGGATCAGAGTTGAAAATACAAGTTCAAATGAATAGATGGTTGAGAGTGGTAATACAATGCATCCTTTTTAGCCATGGAAATTCTTCTTACATCCTACAACCAAATGACATGTTTAATGTCTTATAATTAATGTACGAAAATTAAAGTGCAGTAATTTATTCTCAACAGTGGAATGGCCAACAAATACATGAAAATATGCTCATCATCCCCAATCATCAGAGAAAAATCAAATCAAAACCAGCCTGACAGATCACCTAACCCCACTGAGAATAGACCACACAAAGTCCCAAAGCTGCAGATGCTAGCGTGGTTGGGGAGAGAAGGGAATACTGTCACACTGTTGGTGGGACTGCAAATCAAATGCAAGTCAAAACCAGCCTGACATATCACCTAACCCCCCTAAGAATAGCCCATCACAAAGTCCCAAAGCTGCAGATGCTAGCATGGTTGTGGAGAGAAGGGAACACTTTCACACTGTTGGTGGGACTGCAAACACCTTGCACTTCCAAATATAGGTGCTTTGGAAGGAAGCATGGGGAATCCTCCTCAAAGAACTCAAAACAGACCTTCCATTTGATCACTCAATCCTATTACTAGGAGTCACCCAGAAGAAAAAAATCATTTTGTCATAAAAACATTTGCACTAAATTGTCACAGCTTAATTCACAGTTGCCAAGATGTGGAATCAACCTAAGTGCCCATGAACACATGAATAGATTAATAAACTGTGGCATATGTATACCATGGAATACTATTCATCCATAAACAAGATGGAGACTTTACATCTTTTGCATTAACTTGGATAGAGTGAAAGTATCATAAGAATGGAAAAGCCAATATCTAGTGTAATCAATACTAATACGAAGGCAGTAGAGGACTAATCTCCACACAGGAGAAAAAATTCATTTAATTCAAGTTGGAGGGTGGGGGAAGAAAAATGGGGTGTAAGGAAGGATGGAAGGGTACTGGTGGATTGTCCCCTAATGGGCACAATGTAAGGGTATATGTCACATCCCCGGGTGAGCGGCACAGCTAGAACAGGGAACGTAACTAACAAATGCATAAATTGTACCATAATTGTTGTTCCCGCATATTAATCTGAAATTTAAAAAATTCATCCTGTCTCTGGAAGTTGTATTAGTTATCTACTGCTGTGTAAAAAGTTACCTAAAACTTAGGATCTCTAAAAGCAAATATTTATTTTTTCCCCATAGTTTCTGATACTCAGGAATCCAAGAGATTTTTTCCTAAATTCTTCTACTTCTGGGCCTCTCTCAAAGTTACAGTTCAGTTGTCAGCCAGGGCTGTATCATCTGAGGGCTTGACTGAGGTTGGAGATTGCATGAAATATGGTTCACTTAAAGGGCTGTTGAAGAGACCTCACTTCCTTGTTGGCTGGTCCCAGGAGGCCTCAGTTCCTAGCACATGGACTTTTCCACATGCTTCCTTATGACACTGCAGTTGACTGTGATCCAAGAGAGAAGGTGAACCAAGGTGGAAGCCACGGTGAGTTTTATGTCCTTCATCCAGAGTCACAAACTATTCCATCCTTATTGCTCTATCAGAAGTGAACCATTAAGTCCAGGCCACACTCACAGTGAGGGATTTAACCTGCCCCTCTGGAAGGGAGGAGGATCAATGATTTTGCATACATGTCAAAAACAAAATTATAATATTGTTTCAGAATTTTGTAAATCAACGACTTCTTTCATCTGATTATTTTTCTATAATGCTTTCAACTTCTCTTTTCAAAGTAATGATTAAAAGTTTCAGACATCACAGAACATTAGGAGCTACATAAGAAGTTTGAGACAGAGAAAGGAGATACAGTAATATCGCTACGTTTTCCATGCCAATGTCTTTATTAAGAATGTTTTCTTCAATAAGTTGCTATAATGTTGAGAACATGTAGTATTTGGATCAAATAGGTCCAAGATGTCAGTGCTTTTTATGCCTTTGTTTTTTCTAAGATTCAGAACTGGGCGCAGTGCCTCACATTTATACTCACAGTGACTCAGGAGGACGAGACTGGAGGATCACTTCAGGCCTGGAGTCCCACACCACACTGGGCAACTGAGCAAGTACCAGAGTCTAGTTAAAGAAATAAGAAGGGGAGGGAGAAGCCCAAGCCTCATCTTCAAAAATATTTACCTAATTGAATTGTTTGTCAGTTAGAAAAATGTGAGTCTCAACCCCAGTCTGCACACCTAGCTTAGTATCATGACAACAATTTTGGTTGATGCAGGAGGCAGACATGGTCGACTCTAGCACGCCACTGGGCATCCTGTAATAAATTTCATATCTTTCACAGTGTTTTCCTTTCCTATCTTTTCTTTTCTTTCTTTCTTTTTTTTTTTTTTTTTTTTTTTTTTTTGCCCT